CCTTGAAAGCGTGTGTTACAGGACAGTACATAGGAAGATATTTATAAACAGTGTTTAGACTTGCAGCACTGGTGATATGATCCTGAGTTCTGACTAAACCAACCCTTGTTCCACATTTAGCTGACTAAATTTACCATTTATCTAGAAGAAATTAGTTGATTATATCGGATAAAAATTAATGAAAGTTATAATGCCTTTACATTCAAATTTACTTCTTTCGGTTTACGTCCAAAGCATACATGTGATCTCAGTGTTAGTTCCATGTAATTCTTGTTTCGGGAATATTTACTAGAGTGGCTGTCCTCTAGTGTTAAACTGTAAATATATTTGGAGCTCAAGTAATTTGCCTTTAAATATAAGTACGAGTGCACGACTCAAATGTATTGAACTCCAGAAACTTCATTTTTCTTCAATATCGCTGCAAGAACCAGTGCTTATCGTCAACAGCTCAATTTTTTCCACATCTTATATATTCAACAAAACTTACAGTCAGGCATTTATGGTTATTATATGTTGATGTACCCACATAAAGTTGTCATGTTTTTACTTGTAGCAATTGAGTTATGCTGTAGTCTGTTATTGTGGTTCTAAATAGTAATAGGACTAAGTGGGGCATCCTATGTACTAATTTCTATAAGTAACTGGTGTGAACTCTAATAGTCATGACTAGATCAGAACTGAAAGCTCACAGTAATAGCTTCCACTTCTATAGATAGTCGTTTCAGAATCTGAAAAATATTATTATAATGTTCGCTAAAGATAAGCAGATTTCCATTATGCAGAGCCTATGCAGTGTTCGTGAACGATATTCTGGGAACGATCTGGAAACTTCTAAGCCAGATGTTGATATTGAGGGCTAGTAGAGAGGGCATAAAATGTTTACTCCTCATATCACACTACTAATTTTTGTCAGTATAAAACGTCCAGAGTGTAGATTTACACAGACAGCCCTAAATATCTAGTATTTGTCTGCGCGCAGAGACTAGCGTAAGTTGCGAATTCGTTAACAAGATTCAAAGTTTATTCTCTGCACCCGAAAATTACAAAAGAGGATCGGCTTGAATATCGGTGTGACGAATGAATAAATGCAGGACGAATTTCCAGGGTTGTTATGAGTATCGAATTCCATCGTTTCAAAATGTTATTATAGCCTTATCCATAATGACTGGAGGCACAGTGACAACACAAACAGATTATTCTATGTTAGACATGCAAGGTCGTGGTTGAAATATCAATCAAACTAGAATCAGTGAACGGGCTATGGTACAGTGATCCGTTTATCTAACAATTGCATCAAGTTCATTCACTGATACAAAGATGCTGGATAGATATCAGTAACAACTATTTAACAAGAATAACGTTATAAAGTGTGTTTGTTCTTCGGTTGGATATTGTCGCTGACTCTGGATTTCCGTTAAGCACTCCAAAACGTACACAATGCAACCACAAAGGGGGTCACTTAATGATGATACTGGTGTCACCAATCAAGATAAACTGTTAAACACATTATCTTCTTCAAAATAAGGGAATGATTCGAAGTACTTTTTTAATGATCACTTCTTCCACAAAGAGAAACTCATAGCCCAAGAGAATCTTACGATAGATCTTCAGACAAAATATATTTGGACGTCCCAAAATAAATAAGAAACTGAGTAGGAAGATTGAATATGTAGAAACTAATCCTGTATGTTGTAGCGGTAAATTAATCTTCAAAATAAATTGCTCCATAAGTTTTCGACACCAGATCACGAGTGGGAACGCAGTGCTTAACATCTACTGTGATCGACAGCCAGATTAAATCAGACGATTCTCGATATATTGATAGTCATGAAATATACCCTCGCGATCTCGTCGATTGTGTCTTTTGATTTCTCTTGGTGGGTACGAGTTATATTAGAAGGTTTTACTGGTTAAATCGTTGTGAAACACTGTATACTTGTGGCATCTTTAATGTCATGTGAGTACATAACATGTGAAAGTGATTTTTATCCTAAAGGGACTACCCGAATACATAGGCAAATAATGATAGACTGATAATTGTATGAAGTAAAAATATAAACACGAATCGCCATCTTCAGAGTGGAGAAACACTGGTACATTTCAAGTGTCATGAACTATGAAAAACATGTACAAAACATTTCTCATCAGTACACTAATACCACCTCACACAAAATGTTCAAAATAAAACCACGCATAACAAAAACACAAGTAGCTGTTTCAAAGATTCAGAAGGAAAACTTGGGTTTTGAGAGGAAGTGAGATATTTAGTCTCAAAATTTAGTCATTGCTTGAGGAGTGAGATAACCCACATCGACGTCACTAAATGTTTACACAGCAATATATATATATATATATTTCTATGTCCTGCTGTATAAATTTCTTCCCCCCCATCTCGAATGAGACATAATCTTCTATGCGCAGTCATGCTCATGTCTGGCATCTTGTTTTTGCATGTATCGGTTTCAAATAAAGTTTACTATTAACAGACTGATACTCACGTTACATTTGATGCTGAAATAAACGTTATGAACGTCTTTCGTTTCTTTGCCTTATGAATAATGGCCTGCGACCAGAGATCACAGTAGTTTAGTAATATCTTTTCTGGGACTCCAACACTACACGAAATAACTGGTCTGCGTTACGCCAAAGGATATTGCTATATTAATAACACTCTCCATGCCTTCGATTCTGTGGCGGTTGCTTAAGAGTAACCAAAGTATCAACCATCACATGACTGCTGTTAAATTCATTCTGAGTGTAACCTTACTTTTTCCTAAAGTTTCATACTTCATTACAGCCTTGCTTATTAATACATGACTTAGAACGGTATCCTTTACTTCTCATGTCTTGATTAGGTTCTCGTACGAATCCACAACAAATCTTGTGAGCCCTATCTTCACACTGAATATTATAATTTCATGTTCATTCTTCGGTATTTTGAAGCCTACTACCGTAAGTGATACCTTTGCATAACTCAGTGAATTTATCAGTACTTCGATTAAATGCCTGAAACTCGATGGATGTAACACAATTTAATAAACCTAACCCGCATGTTTGAATAACACAACTTGAGGGTCAATGTCATTTTGAAAGGCTTCAAAAAATTCTTTTATGCTGAGAATTCTCATGACAGAAGTACTAACAGTTATAGACAGTTTTCAAGTACCTGAAACCTAAGATAGGTTGAAGCAATTTGTCAAACCTACCACAGCACGAATGAACGCGAATTAGAGGACAGTCTCCGCTTCAATCGATATGGCAGATGAAACAATTATTTGAACCTTATAAAATGGACGCTTTCCTAGATTTGATGTGACACCTGCAAATATCAACAAGGCTTATTCCCTGCACATTCATTCAGCCATTAGGCTCGGAGAACTTGACTAATATTGCAAGAAAAATTTGGAGTTACGTGCAAGCACTACTCTACACAAAAAATCACCCAGTGAGTTCTTGCGGTTCCACCCTCTCTGATGAAGTACCAGTCATGTTATTACTAAACTAATAGCACAGCAAAGATCACGAAAAAAATTAGATTTACAGACAACTCTTTCTCAACAAACTATATAATGTCTCGCAAACTGTTTGGAAGAATCCATCAAAAATCACCATGAGAGGCGTGAGTATACGATGTGACCTATGGTACTTCTACAACAGGACAACACTTTGCTTGAAATAGCAGCAATAAACGTCTAAACTCTAGGATTTTACCTCCGTGTAGTGTTTGAATGGACCTCATTTAGCACGTATAGAACCCACAATCCATTTTTCTGGCGACGAAAATCGAAATGTCAGACCAAGGTGGTTTATAATTTGTCAAGAAATGAAAAAAAACACCAATTCATACTATATATTAGATGGTAACCTGAACTGTCGACTTGCTTCACTTATGAACCACTACGTACTGGTTCACTCTGGTTGTCGATCGAACAGTTAGACCAGTTGATTGTATTATGTAGTCGATACATTGTCATGTCCTTGTAGCCTGAATGATTAGCATAAGATAATATTTAAAGAGAAATTGTCTGTCTAGTGCAGCAATATAGCAGAACGGACTTCTAGGTTCAAAAGCTGCCATCCAGCCAACTACAAAACGGTCTATGTAGACCAAGTGTTTTTGACATGCTCTTGAATAGCTCAATCTTGTTAGGTAGTTACGACTTAGCTACGGTAACACCTCTAATTTCCAATTCACCAGAATAGATAGGTTATCAAGGACATTACGGTAAGTCCTTGCTCTTAAGTTTAGAACGTGACCAGTTGTCATTTAAAATGAGAGAAATGGACTTATTTCAAGTCGTCAAAGGTATGTCCATACAGCGTAGATCTCTCGGCTGCTTCATTTCCTTGTAAACATGCAGTTCGATTTCATCCTCAATGTGCACTGCTTACTGTGGGGATTACGATACGAGTAAGTTGTTCGTAGTGTCTGATTACCAACGCTTGACAACGAATCGTGGTTCAGGCACTGATACCACATGAGGTGATGCATGTATTCTGCAACCTTCTTCAGTTGAATCTCCTTAGGTAACATAAATTAACCACCAATACATTTAGCAGAAAAGGTTGCCTCATCGGAGAAGCATTCGCAAGCCATATTTAGCAAACATGAACCCCTACCAGTTTGTAAGCAGATAAAGAATCCATGTGCTTCGAACTTTGAATCTAACTCATCCTATTTTCAAGTTGGACACTTAAAACCAAAATAGTCGACTAATATACGTTGCGAAAATAACTCTTAGACTTTTTGTTTGCACCCGATAGTACGAACATTTCAAAAAACCCGAATTACGACCTTTTTATTTTCTAGCTGTTATATGTATGACCGTTCATTGAAGTCCACAATTCAGATGTGATGTACTCGTTTACTCGTTAAGAGGATATTAACAAATAAGTCAATTATCTCAACCAAAATAGAATAAAACATAGGTAATCTGTACAAAAAATCATTTGAAAGAAAATATGGAATCTCTCCCTTCAGATATATATTACAAAGAAATTCATTCATCAATTGAGAATTGTTTGTATATGGATGACCAAATATGTTGTTTTACAAAGTCTTCCAATGATGCCAATTCAGTGATACCAAAAGAATACGGTAAATTCAAGTACGGATCACAACAACACATAAGCTCGCCATTTCTAATAATAATAATAATAATAATAATAATAATAATAATAATAATAATAATAATAATAATAATAATAATAATAATAATAATAATAATAATAATAATAATAATAATAATAATAATAATAATAATAATAATAATAATAATAATAATAATAATAATAATAATAATAATAATAATAATAATAATAATAATAATAATAATAATAATAATAATAATAATAATAATAATAATAATAATAATAATAATAATAATAATAATAATAATAATAATAATAATAATAATAATAATAATAATAATAATAATAATAATAATAATAATAATAATAATAATAATAATAATAATAATAATAATAATAATAATAATAATAATAATAATAATAATAATAATAATAATAATAATAATAATAATAATAATAATAATAATAATAATAATAATAATAATAATAATAATAATAATAATAATAATAATAATAATAATAATAATAATAATAATAATAATAATAATAATAATAATAATAATAATAATAATAATAATAATAATAATAATAATAATAATAATAATAATAATAATAATAATAATAATAATAATAATAATAATAATAATAATAATAATAATAATAATAATAATAATAATAATAATAATAATAATAATAATAATAATAATAATAATAATAATAATAATAATAATAATAATAATAATAATAATAATAATAATAATAATAATAATAATAATAATAATAATAATAATAATAATAATAATAATAATAATAATAATAATAATAATAATAATAATAATAATAATAATAATAATAATAATAATAATAATAATAATAATAATAATAATAATAATAATAATAATAATAATAATAATAATAATAATAATAATAATAATAATAATAATAATAATAATAATAATAATAATAATAATAATAATAATAATAATAATAATAATAATAATAATAATAATAATAATAATAATAATAATAATAATAATAATAATAATAATAATAATAATAATAATAATAATAATAATAATAATAATAATAATAATAATAATAATAATAATAATAATAATAATAATAATAATAATAATAATAATAATAATAATAATAATAATAATAATAATAATAATAATAATAATAATAATAATAATAATAATAATAATAATAATAATAATAATAATAATAATAATAATAATAATAATAATAATAATAATAATAATAATAATAATAATAATAATAATAATAATAATAATAATAATAATAATAATAATAATAATAATAATAATAATAATAATAATAATAATAATAATAATAATAATAATAAGTAGAAGAAATCCCTTGGATTAATAACTGAAATATATCTAAATTTAATTTTTGGATAAATTGACCAGTACACATTTATATGTTGTATTAACGTAACATACTGCTCCATAGTTATTATTAATAAAAAATATCAAATCTTCTCCACCATCTCGAAATCATAAATAAGTAAGCCATTTTAACAATTTTATCGCATACTGAATTGTTGATGAGTTGAAAAAAGGCTGAAAAAACGGTACGCCCTCAATCTGGTCGATATACATATATCTTTAAACATTAAATAACAAGTTACCTGAATAAACTTCCCTAAAGTAAGAAATAAAGACATCGTAGCATGGAAAACAGGAGTCTTTTATTTCGAATGATCTTAGAAATAAAGAGGTGGTTAATACTGACAAGATGTCAGAAGCATACTCCCAAGTTATCAATTGTGGTCTAACATTGACCAGTTCATGATTTCAATGAAAATCAATTTCCATAACCATATACTGATAACGGTTATAATTGAATTAACAAAAATGCGCACATATACACAGATACAGATCGATAACTTTTACTAATAAAACCAAATCTATAGTGATTGGTTCTGTTCAAAAAATATTTATATAAATTCATGTCCTGTACTGATTGTTATTGTAAGTACAATGTTTGCAAGTTTTTATTGCAGTTTAAAGAACACAGTTCACTGAAAAAACTAATCTCTTGTTTTTGTGAATATAACAAACAATAAATCTCTTAAAAAACTATCGACTATCGAAAACAAAAGTCAGAGGGAAAAACAAAAACAAGAATTGCAATAAATTGATCAAATTAATTTCTTCCTTTTAAAGATTTTTGGTATCCACCTTAAACAATTCTACGTATTCATAAACATAGTTAGTGATCACATGATATTTTATTTTGAACAAAATAAGTAAAAATTATTTCTGAGTGTATCAATGTGGTTATGAGACTTGAAAGTCCATTGTTTGATTCCATGTATGGGATCTGTTATATCCTAGCGAAGATTATATTACGAGTAACTTCTGAAACTTATTAATGGCTTAATATTATCTACATATTCATTCTTACAGTATAATTATTTGGTAATTCGATTATGTATATCTATATTCCTCTTATTATAAGCTTCATTTTGACCTGTACGATTTACTGTTCTTAAGTTATGTTCAGTTTATTGATTACAGTCATCCACGTTCACAGACACTTTTGGCTTTACTTTGTATAAATGTTATTTCCTATTTTATGTTACGATGAGGTCTGTTTTGCTGGCATATAAACTAAGTATGTCTGAAATAAGCGGAATCTGTTATTGGTGTTCCGGACTCAACTGGATGAACTAGGCGAGCAAAGGACCAATAAAGACGCTAGGCTGATCAGACCGGTTGAACGTCATTGGTTTAGTGCAGCACGAGAGTGAATAAGTCGTATTTCGACTGGTGAATAAATTACGTGATAACTAGCTGAACTTAAAGTCACAATACGGTCTTAAATACTCACGGAACTGTGAGACTGGGACTAGGCAAACAATGTTCATACCACAGCTTCCAATGTTAATCATCTAATGAAAGTTTGTAAGTAAACCGATCTTCGAACTGAACAAATTCTTACAGATCATTAAAATAAATCACAGTTGCGTGTTTGTTAGTGGCTGAATGTGATAAGAAAAGTTGTGACTAATTTATATGTGGTGGTGAAATTAAAATATGATTGTTCTTCGAGCATGAACAAACAAGCAATTAGGCTATTGACTACTGAATATCTGGTTTACTTTCCTGTTATTGATATCTACCCCGGACTTACTATGTGACTGTTTTTATAATTGTGTTGAATTAATTACTATCTAGTGTTAATATGATCAACTAATCTAGGTCGTGAATCCTGGATCTGATATGACATGAGTTGTATTATTATCATAATGTATCTGAGAGTGAGAAGAATATTTTAAACCATCCGTCATATCATTAACGGAGACTAACTATATAAGAAGTGGAAAAATTGTCAACAGTGGCAATTGTACTTTGTTCTCTGGTAGATACCTAAAACTGTGTTCAAACTATATAATTCTCTTAAAGGAACACCTAGATAAAATCCATTCATCTATTTTTTGCTGGATTACAACATTTGATTGGAAGAATGTTACATTCAAATTTTGATTAGAATGATAATCTACCGATTTATCTAAAGAGATAGAAAAAAATATTCGTACACGCTTGCGAATGGTGGAAAGGAATTTATTGAGTGGCTAGGATACGAAGCTTAAAACACAGTGCTGACATTATATTCAATTTACTTAGACCAGTTAACCCTTGTGGAGTATAGGCCGACCGCCGCGAATCTCTAGCTAACTCTGCTTCGACAATCCTGTCCTTTTGCTCCCACTTGTTGTTCATTCAATTACCGACGCAATATATTCTTTGTTCTACCTCCTTTGCTTTCGCCTTTAGGATTACAAGTTATGATTTGCCTCAAGATGCAGTCTGATGATTTCCAAAAGGTATATCCTACCTGCCTTCAGTGTCCTTACCTAAACTCCTCTGCAATTTACAGCTGGTTTGTTGGCTGCAGCAGTAAGATCCATCCAACGGATCTGGTGTATTTTGCATAGACAACTGTTTAAAATACCTTTAACTTTATGATGATGGTTGTAGTAATTCACCACGTCTCATCTACTTACGACAGAATCGTTTTGATGTTTGTATTAGAGATCCTGCCTTTGATGCTGGCTAGCAGTTATTTTGAGAACCGTATGTTATTCAAACATGAAAATGCTGTCCTTGGTTTGGCGATCCGTGTTCTAACTTCTGCACCAAAGCCTCCTTATTTATCGATGATACTGCCCAAGTACGTAGAACTTTACACACCTTCCAGAGCTTCTCCAGCAAGTCAGATGGCGTTGGTGTTCTCCGTGTTGTACTTCAAGATCTCGCTTTTCAACTTGAGTATAATGAGTCTTTCTAATGCAGAGGCTAGTGCTACAGCAGTTGTCTTCACTTGCATTTTTGGTGTATATAGGATAGAAGAGCTAGGTCATCTGCAAAGCACAAATCGTCTAGCTGCATCCGAGTTCTCAATTGTATTCAGTGCTTCTCCTCAAATGTGGACGCCAACCACCGGAATGAAGAGAAAGGAGGAGGGTGAGCAGACTCGTCTGACGCCTTCCTTTACTTGGAATGCAACTGTCAGTCACCCTACATGCACCACTTCGCAGTGTGGTCCGTCGTACGAATTCCGTATGACGGTGCCAATCATCTCGGATACTCCATAGTGTAGAAGAAAGCTCTACAAGCTTCTCTCATCCACACAATCAAACGTCATCTCATGTACAGTGATGAGTTCCATTCAATTGACCACTCAACAATGATCCGGAGTGTCGCAATATTATCGATGCATAGATAGACCACGTACGAAAGCCAGTTTGTTGATCTCGAAGCTGGGCGTCTGCCAAATATTTCATTTGGATCAGCAACACTGTCAAAAATTTACCTAGTATTAATAGTAATGTAATGTCTCTGCAGTCCTCATACTTGTTGAGATCTCCTTTCTTTGGTATCTTGATGAGATATCGGTCTTTACAATCTGTTGATACTTGTTCCTACTCCCAAATCCTCTTGAGTAGAACGTGGAGTATCTTTACAGTCACCTCTATGTCTGACTTCAGCTGGTATTTTGTTTGGTTCTGCTGTTTTCCCATGCATAAATATGCATAAATATAGGAACGAAAATCAAACCAATGGAAGACACAACCAAAACAAAGAAGTAAACAATGATAAATTTAAGGTCAACAAGAACCAATCAACATCGAGGTGCACAGAACAAGCTGTGAAACACATATGGAGAAATTCTAACACTTCACTTCTATTTGAAGTTTGTGCTGATGATGTCGTTCAGAAGAACGATGAAAGCTCCACGACAAAACCATCCAGCTCAGAGAACAAAACTCCACCAAAGGTCAGATCCTCTTCTGGACACTTCTCTACGATCGATTGTGGCCTCTCATAAACTGGTTTTTATCATATTTGTTGCTATCTTTAGTAAGCGTATAAAATTTATTGCAATCACCACTTTCTTTGTTTTGAAGAATGCTGTGATGAATCTGGACCCATGAGATGATCATCCTATAAGTGCTCTTCTGGACAGCGTAATTGCAGCTCTGCGTATGCAAGGCACTTTCTTCTTCCTGACCATAGTAAAACGGCATCTCTCCTGAAGCTAATCTTTTCTGTAAAACTTAGGTCCGATAGATCTCACTTCTTTCAAGCACCACGAAGTTATATCTCTTCATTTCCGCAGCCATTTGGTTGATCCTTCCTGTCTCCCACATTTTCCGAACATTCCATGTATGTATATTAATTGTTGCTGTTGTTGTTAGAAGAAACATAAGCCTCGTGACTTCCGAAGAGTCTCAGCCTTCATCATGAGGTGTCATAATTCTTCGGAATGAAGATCCTTCAACTCGGAGGGTAGAGTCTGAGTGGTTTAATTTGTTTATTCGAGTTAGCGTTTTTTACAAAGTTTGTTTTCTACGGGATGGGGTTTCTGACCCCATGCTCAATCCCCTTTCTTTTTCCCGGGTTTGGGACCGGCAGTAACCCCAGAAAGGCTACAGGAGGCGTTAGTATTGTATGGTACATATGATTATCACAAGGGTTGTGTGCTTTAATGTGTGTAAGTACTCCGATTCACTTAGCTGATTTTGTGGGGTTTTGTTTGAGGCTTCGGGACGCGAGGGCTTATGTAGGCTTCAATTAGAGTGATAAGTGGTGATACAAATAGTGACTTATCATTAGCGGTGTAGACATAAAAGCACAAGGACTAAAATGCTTAACTTGATAGCTATATGCCTCTAAATTGTATGATATAATCATACAAATAAACAATAACAAATATACGAACACTAAAGAGTTTGATCTACTTTGGTCTTTAACATAAATGGAAAGATCCGAACAACCAATAACAACGAATTAAACTTCGCCTTAATGGACAAGCAAGCGAATCAGTAGCTGGGTGGACGTTTGAAGTGAAAGCTACTGGGTTCGAGTCCCGGAGTGAATAATAACTATAAGATTCAGGTATATCCAACTGAGTCGCAAAATGGAACATGAATCCTTGCCACCACTTCTAGTAAATATCGATCTCTGCTTAAAATGATTATGGCTTAATGGAAACATCGAGGCAATCCACACAGAATGTACATAACCCAAAAGAGACTGATCAACGGCAGTCTCAAACATCAATAGGAAAATCCAAGCAAACAATACAAATAAATTACAAATGTCTGAATGTTGACGAGAGAAGAACTAAACATATTACCAATCAATTTGGTGTTATTTCTAAAGAGTAACAAAACATAAATATTAAAGATTCCCATTGAGATATAACAATACATATAAATGCTTCAACTTGATATGGTTCTTAGAAAATATATCACATAGAATTGTTCAAGATATTAAAAAGCATAAAAGTATCAACTTACTTCGTTTTTGAGTCTTTAAATAAAGTTACTCGTACAACAGTCTCATAAGCCTGTGTCATAAACAATAGAGCTTCGTAGCAGAAATCCAAATCATTAGAAGAGAGCAGATTTGTATTATCAATCTTTGAGATTGAATGAATAGGTGGAATATACTTAGGATCCATAAATAATATAGATTTCAGTGGTAAAGTTTTGCCGCCTATTCCATAGACTAAAATACAATAATAAAAAAAGGTGTAATATAAAAACTAAGTAGTTGAAATCTACATCAGCATAAACGTGTCACTTTTTTATGAGAAAAGGCTTATTCGTTTAAATGTTGTGCATATCTCTGTCTGAATTTAGTGCTTGATTTCTTTTTATAAAATGATATCCAGCTGTAATCTCATAACTTAAAAGATGTTTATCTATCAAGTTGGAATATACTAGTTACGCCATGATTCTTAAGTAAACTAAAGTAGTTAGTCAACATACACACGTACATAGCAGACGATTCTAGATAACTCAGACGATTAAAATGACAACTTTAGCGAAATATACACTATCATCCGTTAAATAAACGGAAAAATGACCCAAAGTGATAGGTATGGGAAAAACAGCGAACATCAAAAGCGTAGCGAATACCACCCGCCACATTAGTCTCGTGGTTTATACATCATGGGGTAATTCAAGTAAAAATATGTTAGTATATTTATAATTTGCAGACAAGAAGATCCTGGAGTATTCATCCCTTAATCTGCTAGCACTGGTTCACTCAAAACAAACCAGACATCGTGTTCCAACATAATCCTACATGGAATATGCTCTAATTCAATCTATATTTCGCTAACAAATACAATTAGAAAAATAAACTTATGGAAATATATCACTGCTTTTGATTGCGCATTATTTCAACTTGGTGCGCGTCCTGCAATTTTGAGTGCAGAATTTACATAAATAAACTTGGAAGTGACTTGTCTGTCTGTTTGTATTACAGAATAATTCCATAGACTATTTGGTTTTTGAATCTAAAACAAACATAAAAATGTCAATATTATACGTTGAAACAATGTTGGCAGTGGTTTATTGCTCAATTACTTTTTCTTATGTTTCCCAATCACCAAGTAAAAGTTTCGAACTCCATAGCTTGTAAGCACACATTTGTATATTTGGTAAAACTAGTGATATTAACAAGTTGGTCAAATTGAAATATATGAAGCAATGTACCAGTCCGTAACAGGGCGTGGGTTCGAATCTCACCTCCGCCACATACTTTTGCCCCCAAATGCCCTGGTACGGCCGAGAGTGGGGAGAGTCCGCTCTCCCTCTCAAAATACTCTCATACGACCACGCGTATATAGCCTCTGCCAGGGAAGTCCTACTCACTGCCTTCTCGTGGCGGGGGTGTTGTTTACGAAAATGAGAGGACAAAAAGCGAATGTCTGGCGCTTTAACCGGATTCCAAACCAATGGTGCACATGGGCTCCAGTATCCTGCGGGAACAAATGGCGAATGAACCAATTGTTGGTCACCGGCTTCCATGGGACTGCATCTCCTTACGATGCTCCACTGCCTTGTGGATCAGACCTTCAGGTCGAAGGCTCGGGGTGTGGCCTCCTAAGAAAACCACCTGCTTCGGTTTGGGCACCCGGGCAGTATCACAGCCCTCACACATATCGAATGAGATTTGTGTGGCGCATATGTATTTGGTGCCTCTTTGTACCATTATCTATGTGTTGAAATAAAATAAAATAAACAAAACTACAACCTATTTGGTTGAAATTCAAATACTTTAACAATTGAGATCACTTCGTTTCATGTCAGATGAGAAAATATCATAGTTATATCGACTAAATATGTAAAATAATCTTAATCAACCAGATTAATTCTGTAAACTAGTGTGAATTTAGTAATTTTTTTTTAAAAATTCACTTAATCAACAAATCACTCACTTGGATTCATTCTAATAAATTTCCACATAGAATGCCAGGGTTCATAGAAAATTGAAGAAGGTAAAGGTGTGGAAACAACATTTGATTTAGATATATTATTGGCTAAAAGAAATCCACAATAATAAGTAAATTAGTTGTGATATTTAATTAAAATACAACAACCAGTATTACATTTGTAGATAACACGGGTACAGCTAATAATAGCGAAAACAGTCAACTAATGATAAGCTAACAATTGAAAAGATTGCATCGAACGATAATGTAGAAGAATGTGGGACGTTGAAGTACAATCAAGTTATTTTTCACTACGGTAAGTGAAGTCAACTTCAAAATCACGAAAAACAAAAGAACACTAAATTTCTAATTCAATCTAAATTGGGATTTCCTGGAATTTTCTAACATCAACTTAAAAAAAGAATAAATTATTCCAATTTTCACTGGATGCATAATTGTGAATCACAAACTAGGACGAAAAATCTCCATAACGATTCATCAACTAGCTGATGTGAATCATCGTGTGAAGTCAATTAATTGTTTCATTCATTTAATTGTTATCAATTATTCACTAATTGCCTTGATTAGTTTATATTTTTCATACACGACCTAAATATGGTCATTCACTTAACCTCACCTAGTTAATGTAAGGAACCGGTGTATCTGGATATTTGACTGCTAATTCTCGTGGCCTCATAGGAATAGATACTGCATTAAGTTAAAAAGAAGAATAGAATCTCCTAGATTGAACTATAATTGACAGTTACTTGTGTGTTCTTCTGTATACAGGTTGATGGGACACAGAATATGTCAATGACATGCGACTCTACAGTTCTAATTAAGACTTATCTATCGTGATGACCTAGTAGAACTATACTGGCTATAACAAGTTCCGGCCTCAATTTACGGTAGGGTCGTGGATAAGCACTGCAGATGAGCTCCATAAACAGAACGAAACATCTGTCCTATCGTTCCTGATTTCCAACGGTTGCACGACTTGGGTCGACTGGTGATTTCAATACTATTCAGAAATCCTAAACTGAAACAAAGCTGTCTAACCAGTTCCCCTCAATGTTCAATGGTTCTTCGGTTGATGTCAGTCTTCAACTTAAATTTTATTGAGATGGTTTAGTCAATATTGATTTATAATAAACCGAGGAATATTTTTCTACATCATCTCATTAAAATTATTCCCAGGAAAAATTTAACCGAAAAAAAGATTAACAAACTTACATAAATTCGCATGATCATGAAGTGGTTGCACTTTTGTTACAGTATGGGGATTTATTGACTTCGAATCGGATGAACGAAGTGAGTGTAATTTCAACTCTAAATAAGACTCTATAAGATCCTAAAACAAGCATTAAACAATATTCATTGGAAAACTTCGTTAATCTATGAAGCAGAAAGCTATGTGAAAATACAAGTAAACATCATTACCAATTTAATATCTGATTTTGTATTGTATAATGATAATAAGATTTCAGTTAGCATAAAAAGCAGCTATATAGTTTTCTTCTTATGACCAAAAAAGTTATAAGAATCTTTTTCAGATGAAATATTTATTTTATATTATTAACGGGAAAAATAAATTTAGGCAATGTAATCGGACATTTTGTTCACCACCACTATATCTAGACATAAATGTAACATTTTCTCAGGTATTTTGCTATCTTTGGTGTTGAGTAAGAGAATACTCAGTGTCAGTTTGTAGGGGAAAACTTTATTAAACCACTTTGTTATATATAGTGACTGCAGACACAACTGGTTACTTGCCATGGCGCAGGCGCATCCATTCTTTGTCCAGATTATAAGCTTCTGAATTCCTCATAAATTGTTTTTATTTCAGTTTTAATTTCACTAATTCACTAATTTTCTCAAGTTAAATCTTCAAACCCTAACCTTTTCTACTACCACTGATACTGTTGCTGTCTCTACAATTCTGGGATTTCCCCTAACAATTTCATCTCGTTGTGTTAATGTGGCATGACAACTTGGTTCTACGTTGAGACTGACTGACTTTTGTATGACTGAACAAAGACTGATTTGGCTCGATGTAAGAAAGAAACTTAAGATAATAGATAACAATTGATTTAAGCACTAACAATAGATCCACTACAGCTTCAACTACTGACTCAGAAATTATATTAACATTACAATATTATTTACGATTTACTTAACTGGTCAACAGGTCAAAGTTGAATAGACCGGACTAGAAGTAGTAGGCACTAATTAATCAATGATTTAGTGAATATGTACATAATTCATAAAGTTAATAGATTAATTGTTTTGACCAATAAATTTAACTAAATTACTGAGTTACATTTCTGGTTCTTTCTAACTAAAACCAGAGTCAGCAAGAAGATATCAGAGGACAAGGATAAACATGTTCAGAACTCAAAAAAAGTGAAAATTAATTCCACTCGCCTTTGAGCTGCCAACTTTTTCAGAAGCAACCAAAGGTAATAAACAAGTGATATATTCCTGACACTTTATTTTGCAAAACTAAGTGAATATGACATCTAGCATGAGACATAACGCCATACTGAGTTGATGGAAAGCCTCGTAACTACAGGGAAGAAATAGACAAGATGGAATTTTAGACAATAACATCCACATAAAAACCCACGGAACTGAACCAGATTGCTTCATATTACTTGGTTTGTACAATCAAATTGTTTGTTTAGTGTATAATCTATAAGTATCAAGTTAACAGTTCGCTTACTTGCTATCTATTTTGTTACAAAAGTGAAACGTTTGATTTTCAATAACAGACCAGTTACATCAGATGATTGCAAGTTTATATGGATAATTGTTCAGTTCTGTGGTTTGTGAAAATTAGGCCAATTCGAAAGGAGCTATCGTGTCTCAGTATTTTTTGAATTAAGAACTCACGTACATTACCCCACACAAAACTGAAGTCGAAACCCCCTATGTACCGAGGCAAGGATGATACTTTTAACTTTTAGATCACAACCTAACGGTTTACATTCTCGAATTCAGTTAACTTTTGACAAAGCGCAACGACTGCCTTACTCGATCGATGGTGACTGTGCCTCATCATAGATATGATTAAACTTCACTGGTTGTGACTTGCTACTAGATCATAGGGACTCTATTTCCAGAGTAGTCAGTAGTAAGGATATGATTATGGGCAAGTTACATGCTTATCGTCTAATACACTTGAGTTTTTAGGGTTTGTCGAAATGCTGCTCATTTTATTAAAATTTATGGCCAATAATGTAGTAGGAAGTGAGGAAATCTAGTTTTTGCACAAGAATAAATGATCTGATAGTTATGAAACTATAGTCTACAGAAACACCGGATAATTTTAAAGATATCCCGAAAACACAGGTGAAGAGCCAATAAACATCATAAATAGACACTTAAGTTATGTAATTATTTAGTCACGAGCAATGGGGAACCTGGTATATGTAAGTATCGACCCAAGTTGGTGAATCACATTAACACAATAAAATGACGTTAGCAATATCAACTTCACAACAGCGCTATCAGTAGCAGTATGAAAACTTTGGCCGAGATGAATCGATAAAAGTGAATTCATACACCAGAAAGTATACATTAATTTTAAAACCCCAGATCTAAAGGAAGGAGAGTAGTGAATGCATCTGAGCCATGTTATGCAAGTATTTAACCAGAGGTTACACAAATCGCAGACCCCAACCAGGTAGTCGGCATCTACCGATGCGTAATGAACTTTGTCACTTCTTGGTCTGGAGCCCCCTACCCTTATTTCAACTTACAACCATAATAAACAACGTTGTCCGTCGAGGTACACGGTGTTTGTCCATACATAATACACGTCACCTAAATCGATAAACATTCAGTCTTATCAACCTTACCTGGTGCCCTGCATCTAAACTCAGCGTTATTCACTCAGTGATCCCAAAATACGTGAGCAGTACTTTGAACACATGATGAAATACCGGTAACCTATGAATGTTCTTTACTTTTTTAGTGTTTAACAACAATAAAGCGAACTAATTAGCAGTGTGGTCGTTCTTTGGTTGGCAGATGGACATCTCGACCATGCTACAGGTGGCTCAGACTGGCAAAAGTCAAGCGAACTTTCTGAACCAAATATACTTAGCAACATAATGTAGAATTATCCCTATCTTATTCCCCAAAATCCATGCAGTAGCCTACGTAGTTCAAAATGTTATTCAGTGACTTCATAGACTGCTATCATGTCACTCATTTAATAACGCGCCACTAAAACACCTAAAAATAAGATTTCTAGTTATGTATACCTAAAGTGACTCATCATCCCTAGATGGGATGCTCAGATTTGCTACCGAAGTCACGACGCCTTAGATTAGAACAAGAAATAACCGTTGTACTAACTAATCTTCACAATGAATAGACGAATCCTCTGATACTTCATCCTTCAGTAGAACACTAGACCCTAGATACAATCACAATTCGCAACCAGTGACTCTTCGATTCCAAAACAGATTCGTAACGTAAAGTGCAAATAAATTATGCTAAGATCCTTACAGCATAACTTACTATAGCTATTGTTTATCTTCGAGAAGTTATTAACTAAGATGCTCAAGAACACTTCTATAACTTGTATATAGTCCCATCTCATAGCTCGAATCAATACCGACTTCACAACTATGTAATATTTACATTGACATTAAACATTGTTTCGACACAAAAATTCTCATTTTTGAATATAAATGTGACGTCCGATTTAGAGATTTATTCGTACTGAACCAAACCATCTAAAGGAGGGTAGCGGATCATGAGGAGCAGAAAGAATAGCATACAATAGGAATGAATGTGATAAAGAAAAGAGGTGCAGTGACTATACTGGGGAAATCAAGTGGTACTGATTAAAAGTGAAAATTAACACGCTGATCTGGAAATTTTATTGTTTTGCACATATCATAGTAGGATGCTCAGCGCGTAAATACATGTGCAACAAGCAGCATTAAGATCAAGATGAACGATCACGAATAAACAGACAAAATCTACACGTATACTCAGACAAAGTGCAAAACAGATAGATTAAATACCATATTATTTATTACGAGCAGTGAACAGGCAGTGTAAAAGTATGAAAGTAAATAAACGTAACTATAAAAGACTGAAGATGAGGAAAACAATTGTTGGTAACGTTGATATCCTAGCGCAAGAAATGTTTTATGTTCAACAGCAGTAATGCAACTACTCAGATAAAGATGACAAAATAATAAACCTGTGTCGAATAAAAATTAGGATATAAAAGACTAGAGACAATGTTTTTTAGTTAATGTATGTACATATATCTTTATAAGTCAGTATACAAAAGAGTAACAGACAAACAGATGCTCAAGTAATTTTATTCACATAAATTACGAATTAGAATAGCTGTTTGGAAAGTTACATTAGGGTTAAACCACAAGAAAGAAGTAACGAGTCAAAAGAATGTCACAATATCTGATGGAAAGATAAATGAATGAGATCGATCCAAATGCGAACATGAAATTATAAACAAACTGGTTAAATTGCCAGGATCGTTCTCAGTCTTGACATCTGGGAGTAAAATTCATTTTATTTACTATGTACACGGACAAAGGTGATCAGAAGTAGGTAACCTATCCGACCCCGATTGGGATAGTTATTTTTTACAATAAGGGCAATAATAAGTTTCAACATTTGCTTCACTGGGCTTTAATCCCACACATACTTGATGATACCATAGAGTACAACGATCACATTGAATCCAATCTATTGCTATATCTTGAGGCTGCTTGCATGGTCTAGCTGAACACTCTTCACTGTCATAATGAAACATATCACCCCCACCAGCATCATCTTCTGCATCGAAACCTCCAGATTTGCTGGATTTCCCAGAACGGCGTTTTTCTTTATTATGTATATGACCGGGTTTTGTTCCACTAGACTTGCGTGAAACAGAATTAGAATGAGACTTTTTAACTCTATCCGTACCGTTTGAACGTTTTTTGATGGTTTTGGAACCTGCAGAACTTAATCGTTTGTTGCTTGAACTATCATCAGCATCATCATTGCTATCTCCATCATCCTCTTCATCTACCTTATGACGATTTGAACTAGCAGGCTTTTTGAATTTTTGACGGTTAGCTGTGCGTTGTGCACTTGAAGTTGTATTACTTCTAGGTCGTTTGGCATCCGTGGATTCATCACTAGACCCAATGGAATCATCTTCTCCATCAGAACGTTGAGTAGAAGACACTGTTGAACCTGGCTGAGCGGGATAAGACTTGCGTTTTTTGGCTGTTCCAGTTACAACATTTTCCTTAGTTGGGGAATCACTTAGCTCCACCTAGTAAAGATAGAATAGAGTTTAAAAAACTGACATAGGGGAGTACACTAGCAGGAAATAGTAACTTACGAGATGAAGAGAACTATGTATCTAGTATATGTAGCATAAAATTTTGTTATCAACTGAAAGAGTAGTCACTGATTATTAGCAACAACTTACGCACTTAGAACTGTTTGTTAACATTACTAACGACTTCAGTTTTCTAGAAAACTCACACACAAAAGCAAATAATACAATTGTCCTTAAAATTGAATAAAGCAGATACCACACTATTATATCTGCGATGCAGTGTAATTCACACTGTTGTTTGGCAGACGAAATACATTAAAAAAAGGCCGGTCAGTCAGAAAGTAGAACCCGGCATGTATATATAACACTTGCTATATCCCTTTAGTACAGAGATAAAATTGTCAGGTATAATCCCAGAGCAGCACATGCAGTGATACTGAGTGGTGCTTGAAAATACTATGCATCGAAGATACGACTCAAGAAAATATAAATTGGTGAAACAAAAGTACAATTATGGAGGATTCAAGAGCTAGGAATCTGGAGGAAGATAAATAAAAGGTAGTTGGATCTTCTCGTTGATTCATAAATAACTGTGTGAAGTAACACAACACTTAACTAGTCAAAAAAATGAAAAAAACCGACAGCCCAACTTTAAATTAAACATCATAGAAATCGATACTTAAGACGACTTGATTACTGGGACGGGAGTATGCAGTTTGTTCTCAACCATAACAAGCGGTGACAAACAGAGACAGGACACCATGATTAGGATTGTAAGGCGGTAGCTTAATGATAGGTCGCAAACTCTAAATCGGCTGTTTAATCCATCATATAGTATCATTGGCTCTCACATACTGCCTTTAAAGATCAATACATGAAATCCATACCCGTTAAATGGACCACACTAACTATCGAGGGAAGTAATGTTGCAAAACATCAAATTTGCTTACATATTACGGAATATACGAACCTAACAGAAGCAAAGTACGATAAGTCGGTCGAAGAACGAACGTTCAGCACGGAAAGCGTGATTTCAGGCCATAATCAGACAATCTAAAAACCTTCAGTGAGTCACAAAGTCCTCGTACTAAGTGGAACTTTAAATAACTGATAATGACAAGACTAAATATCCTTTTCCCCAACTTCCTTAAAACACCAGTGCGTACCAGATGAAGCTACATTTGCACTTGTTCCAGGACTCCTAAGAAATATCAGCAATATAGTAACTACTTACTGTTTGAACCTTATGACCAGACTGATGTGCACAAACATGAAATCCATCCCCGTTCGTATGATATACACGTCAGTTTAAGCCTCATCCTCCAAGATAAAGTTCGAACGGTCATCTGGTACAGTGACTTGTAAGTGTGAGCTCAATGAACACGCACACATTTACACGGCATTTCATCGTCGCATGAAATTGAGAGTCCTTATTGAAAAATTGTTGCTAGCAGGTAGGTGTGGTCCACAGAAGTGTATTATCAACACTGGTCTACGGGAAATCTCAAGATTCAAGAAGTGACTGCTCGGAAACACTTATTAGGTAAGAAACCGGTATTTTTATCAGCCATAACGCAATACTTCGAGGCTTTATGCATCATTAGTACCGTCATGACAGTCTTGATTATAACTGCATATCTTAATTTCAAATTCAATTCCTAGTAACTTAGGTCATTTACTCATGTTTTTGGACTAAGCAATAGACAAAGTGGGTCAAAAATCGTCACGGTCATTTAGTGAATCACTCAAGTACGCCTTCATAGTTCACCTATACCATCAAAACTAATGCCCATTTCGAATTCTCTTGTGCAGAACATACTCTCCAGTTGTATAGTTTGAGAACACTTCTATAACCGGATGAAACCGAAGCTTGACCACCACTATTCAGTTACTGAAAAACCGACCGCTTATTCTAAAGCGGCGAGGACAGAAAGTACTTTATGGTGGCCGTATATATTTGGATGACGTAATAAGTAGACGACTAAATTAAAAATGACACAAACAAAACTGCTGCTTTCGTACGGAGAACGAAGGCGATGTATTAACGGACTTACTCGATACTTCAAGTCGGAATAAAAGAGAGCTACTGGCTCCCCAGGCTTAAGGTTTGCCCCATTTAAATGCCCAAAGCACACAATATCTCCATGTTTCAGCGTTACCCCACCCATAACTCTTGTGTAGTTGACGTAGGTCCCATTCATACTATGATCATAGAGAATTGAACCTCCTTTGGCCGAGCGTTCTATAGTTGCATGATTTCTTGATATCATTCGGCTGTTAATGCAGCTTTCGATTGGATAGTCAGGGGGAATTTTCGTGTTAATACGTCCAATGCGGATTTCTTTTTGGCCAGGCTTTAGTTCTATTTTTTTGGGGCGATATTGGTCGCTTGAAGAACTGACACACCCAGCTTGTTCACGTTTGTCTTGATCTAAATCGCCTATCCATCTTAGAGTGACGGTACTCATTATGGGATGAACATGTGAAGACCAATTCGCAGACCAGGACTGTGAAACTTATTTTAAACCCATCCACTTAAAATGTCTGCGAATGGAATATTAGTAAGCTAATTCTAACAATGATCGATGTAGAATGGTTGGCGTTACGAATTTCAGAACTTCGTCTTTGGTACTCTTACCTCAAATAATAACCGAATTATATTCTTGTCTAGAAAAGAATTTCAGCAAGTAATCGATAAGTTTTAAATTCTGCTACTGTTGGCAGGAAATAGAGGACTGTTGGTTGACTTGCGTCAGTGTCTTGGTTATAAGAGAAGGAATTAAGGTGTGGTGAGTCATAGATTTTGTCATCAAAGACCCTTAAAGGATGATTAATTTGTTACTAATCGAAAGAGCATCCGACAATTAACAACTAGAAAAGTGTACTTCAATACTGTTAAAACTAGACCAAGTGAGAGAACTTTCTCTAAAAGATTTAGAAAATGGTCGTATTGCTATCTCGACGGATAAGAAACTTCACAGCTTATGGATTTTATCTGCCAGGTAGGATCAGATGACTTACCTCCACCTTCCTTCATTGTTACATTCAAGTAGCGGGGTGAGACGGAGTTAACCAATCCCACCATTCCTCTTCAACTTTGCTATCGATGACATTCTGGTAACAGCTATGATGGATGCAAGTAATGGCGATGTGGGTCTGTTGCCTGGAGAAAGACTTCTCGACCTTGAGTATGTGGATGTTATTACACTATTGTTCGATAATGCCCAAGCCACGCAATCCGCACTTGATCAGTTTGCAGTCAATGTCCGTAGGTGTGGTATGTACTTTACACCCTCGAAGTGCAAAGTACTTCTACAGGACTGGCAGGATTCTAATCCTCTACTCACCCTGGATGGCGAGCAGATAGAAGTAGTCGAGAAGTTCTTGTATCTTGGTAGCTGCATAAGTGCTGGTGGTGGCGTGATTGATGAGATCAATGCACGTATAGTGAAAGCCAGAGCGGCATATACCAATCTGTGACATCTTTGGCGCCTTCGTGATGTTAGTCTGGCTGTAAAATGTCGGATCTACAACGCGTCAGTAAGAGCAATCTTGCTGGCATCCAGTGACAACACCATGTCAGTACTGCAGAGGTTCGGCATCGTGTTTTTGGATACAGAGACGATAATCCGATTGTTGTCATCATCTTGAAACACCTACTTTGGTGGTTTGGACATGTTCTACGAATGTCGCTTCAGAGACATGGCGTCGTGGCATAAAAGAAAGCTGCATAGGGCTGGCTTCTGTTGGCCCTTCACGATTCCCTGGCTGGTATCCGAGAGATGGTGCAACACAGTGGCTAGAGACGTTATCAGATATGACGCAGAATAGAAGCTAGTGGTGATCCTCTTATACCCTTCTTTTATGTTCTTCATAAAAAATGGTTGTTTCTTCCCTAACTGAAAGAATTCTTCTGGTTGTACCTTTTCATTTCCCCCACTATTATTAGTGTACTGCCATACACTAATATGTGGTCGTTACTGTTCTCTCTTTTCTTCTTATACCCACTTTACATTCTTTTTCTCTTCCCATTCTCACTGTTTTTTATGTGGAGCACATATATCTGATGCCTTTTTGTACCAATATTTATGTGCTCGAATAAATAAATGGGAAAGTTTCAGACTTTTTAGTATCTATGTTGTTGTACTTCATGATCATAACCTCTTCATTCTTCCGTGCTTCACAGATTTTAAGTACTCGAAATATCTTTAAATAAATCATCCACCACACTCATTTATGCATCTCGTGACGTAATATGGAACAGCTTTGTGATTGAGGGAGAGGTAAACGAATTATTTATTACTGTTGACTCTGGGCAATGCTCGGATGCTCTTTTATCAGACTCCCCTCACTAATTATTCAGTCGCCTCAAGTGAAATTCAAAATAATCGTGAGACAGTGATTCAAAAGAATCGATTCCTGATCATATTCATAATGCTGTCATAGCAGATGCTCTATGTTTTAATGGTTCATTGGTTTCTAATGAAGTCTTTAGTGAATTTGAGGAAAATATTTCAAATGGTTCAAATTCAGGCGATATTATAATGAGTGTTGTTTGTTCCCACAATTAATTCCTTTCTAGTGATAATCGAAGAAAATGGGTAGTTTCCAGCTTGTTACCCTTTCTATTTACAGTACTAACTATATCTTTCCCTAGAAAGGAGTAGTTTTATTTTCGACGTCTGAATGCTTAAGGAGAGCAACCATGATGGCTAGCTTATTTCTTGAGTCTCTTGGTTGGACCCCTCCGAGGTATGATAGTCTCATTGATGTTGTCCATGTTATTTATGAATCAATGTTCTGTTCACAACTGTTCTAGATGCTCCGAAAAAGGTAGAACTCAGTCCCATGAACCGGTGCTAGAAATTAGATGGAAAATAGGCTCACTAAAATTCTGACGGGACTAATGGAGATCTGACTAGTTCTTCATTCTATCATAAATATGGCGTAATGTGATATTTAGAACTGGCGAATAAAATCATTCTTCTTAGTGCATGACTGGATTATCTCTAAAAAGGTCTATATGTTCAAGCACAAGACAGAGATGCTCACAAACTGTGCCGCAACAATTTCACATGGGTCGATATTAAAATTGTTTGAGGTATGAGCATAGAAGAGCAGATCGTCATCAAGCAGCCCTTCATTCGATGACTTGAAGGTAAGAACATCACTCATTTCTCACTACTATTTGACTCCAGGATAGTTCAGCAAAAACAAATTTCATCCAAGCCGACGTTAGTACATACTATAAATTGCTCAGGTCTCCGGTCTATGCTTTCTACACACACATGTAACACATATTTGCGATAGAAATATCGGCGTCCTATGCTGGCGCATATTTTGTTGCTCTCTTAGCTTCTCGGTGGTCACGAAGTTTTCGGATCGGAATGTCCCTGATCTGGCGACACATGAGTAGACTAGTAACATGCCAATTTGCTTCATAAAGCATAGTTACTTCGATACCCCTAATTATAAGCAAATTGTGCTGAAGTAAATTGCTATCGTGTCCGTTTGCATTGATTACTCTAGTGCTGCAGTCTCGTATGTCTTTACTAAGGGTCATATCATTTCTTGAAAAGCCAATCATCTATCCAGTTAGGGGAGGATAATTTTAACTAGATTAATCAGTTGATTTTTAGAATACATCGACTGTGTGGCTGACTATAAGATAGCAGGATCATGGTTTCTCTTAGAATACTTTTTTTCACTGTCCGTACGCTCACTTCTTTTGATCATGTATGTTCGTAACTTCATCCAAGAGGAAGACTTGGTTTATGACCGGCAAAGATGAATCAGAATGTTTCACACTCTTTTAAATTAAAAAACATCAAACACCTAAGGATTTATCTGAAGTAGGCACTAGGAGATATTATACGGACTTACTATGTGTCGAACCTACTTGTCTTCGTCACTCAGGCATAAATATTTTTAACTTTAAACAGGATATTGATACCTATCGTGGACGAAATGTTTATTCGAAAGCATAGATGACCACACCATTCTCAACCTTACTAACCTCATCGTGACCTGTGGCTAGAAAAATAACTTCAGCCTGAACTATCTTCTGGTCTCCTCTGTATTAAGGAACTCGGCCGCTTGAGGACGACTTTGTTGAAAAAAGGGATTAGTTTCCATCAAGCAAGTCGCCTTTGCGACAGGTGCCCTGTGGTAGTTCATACCAGTAAGCTCTCTGTGTTTACTACATTTATTTGCTAGAGATATATGTGTTGAATATTATAGTGAGGTTCTCCATATATCAGACTGCAAAATCTCACATCAATGTGGTATTTATTTCCTGCCAAACAATAGGTACGAAGAAGATTTGAACATAAAAATATTTAACAACACTGGTTTTCGAGTCTACCATATGACCCCCTTGACAGTCAAGAAAGAAAACGGTTGGTTAATTTCCAATGTTTGGTCTGGAAGAATAACTATGAATGTTGATCAGTATCATAATGTATTCCACTTGTTAAGATAGGGTGAAAAAGTTGTGAGGATAACACAATTTATAGAAGGACAATAATTGACGACCATCTTTAAATAAATAATGTACAAACGAATAGTATCAGTGTGCTAACTCAGTTAATACTTACCGATGGAAATGCCAACCAAAACTATTTGTTCGAAATGACAGCATATCTGGGCTTCAGGAAATGGGAAGTACATTGAGGTACATTATGTCAGATAGAAACAGACACAGTCACATACATCTTCATTAGCATCTGATCTTCCAAGACAAAAGCCTTTAGTTGTTGAGTAGCTGTGGTTTTCATTGACTGCTACGAGATACACCATCCGAAACTTTGTACCTCATACTCTGAAATGACGGGTTGGCGAGGAGAACCAGAATGGCATCTAGCATCAGACTCAATATTAATCTGTATTTACTCTACAGTCACTTAGAATTGTAGGAGAAAGATTTAGGTTCGCTATTTTTGCACTCACATTTTCATAGCCTAATTTACAATGATACTCACTGAACTATCACTACTTCATTCACTATGACTGCTATGACTCAGCCAGCTGCATTAGGTTTAGTCGGACAAAACTCACCCTAATTATCAAGCGCTACCTTGCTCTCTAAAAATTTTCACACATGACACATTAAAATTTATTAATCAGCGTCCAGCTGCTCGCCTTATTAATAATTTGTTTCAATCACACATAATAAACACACGAAGTTATCCCCAGGAGCGCCACCTAAACTCTCAGGCTCACACGACTTCTGAAATTCGTCAGCAGGCAGAGTTGATACTTTTTTCACACCATATAATTGGTAGTCCCATAAAAAACTCAGTGTTAGCCTTCATGATCAATGCGCTGCGGCCTATAGAAAAAAGCTGTCTTGAACCCATACGGTGTTATAACTCATCTTCCTGTTTCTTCCTTTGGAGAAACACTCATATCTTTGACCGCGACCAAACACATTCGTTTCTTAGGTTTTTATGATGCACCGCCATACACA